ACTGGTCGAAACACCTGTGCAGTACCTCTCACTTCACGCTTCATTTCCTCTATACTCGACAAAATTTGCCATAAGAGCATAGGTGAATTGCGGATTATGTGTGAAGTTAGAGTCTGAACGATTTTCAATCCAAATCAACTGAATCGTACAGTGCAATCAGCGTAAGTGATTCTTTTCGCCGGCACAGAAGACCAATTATGCTAATGTAGGTTTCACTTAGATTACTATCAGGTCTTAACACGAGTAACTTTCAAAACCAATTGGTTTGATTGTTTTCAGCCCATGGCTATTTGTTCTCCCATCCAGATCACTTAATCTTGTGCTTACCAATCCTGTGTCAGAAATTTGAATAACGTAGGTATGTTTCATTGGATAACTAGTAAAATTTGCATTGAATCACTGTCTACGCGGTGAAATCCAATCTTTTAATTGTGACGTCGTCAGATTTGGTTTCCTGTGTATTCAGCACTTAGACACGATAATAGTGAAACGATGATAGTCGCTGCGAAGTTCTGGTTTCGATTGCACCTACCCTAGCGGTAGATTAATATATTGTGTGTCGATACAAGATTGAGCCGTTCTACCATTCGAGTTATAATTTATCACAAACGTCGGCTCGAAAAGTGGTTCTGCACGACTAAAACTGTAGGCACTGTGGTCGTGGGGGAACGGCTTAAGACCTTTTAAACAGTATGTAGGGGGCCTAAACCTTAAAACCCGAACCTCACTTTACTAATTGCCAGCCCGCTCTCACACATTCTCTCCAGTTGTGGCTTTACCACTTCAAATTTCGGGATCTATATTAGGAGTTTCAAATGAATCGAATTCTAGGTTCTCGTGCCTCTCGGGTTCACACCTCGCTCGCCTTGCCTAACTTGCTCTTTTCGTAAATACACACACACACGCACATTACTGCATTCTGTTTTCTATTGCTCAGATGTTTCACCCAGCAATTCCGATTTTGGAGCAACAGAACCTTCTTTTCACACAGACGCTTCCCAGCAGTCGAACGCCATGTAAGTGGATTGATACATCATGAGCGTTTTACCGCGAGTCTATTCATCTGGTTTTTCTGAAGACGTATTTTGACTTCCTTTTCATTGAATACAAATAATAATTCAGACAATTCAGGTCAATCGAATTCTACCAAATCAGGGGGAGATTTAAGTGGCGGTAGTGCGGTTCGAACACGTTTCCCGGGTTGATAAGTCCATAACCTTAACCGCTTGACCACCAAGGCCGTCTAATATTTTCACACGTTCTCTCACCTCTTTAATGCTTTGTGGTAGTGCTAGTGGAGGAAATGTCCTCATTTAAATAAGTATGAAGTCCGAACGTACTACATGTCACAAGTCAGTTATTTCAAGCAAAACATAAACAAAATTGGTCGTTAACATTCAACTCACAGTTGTGATGTGGGAATAATGATATTGGTTTGTCTTTCAAATTTCACATTCACACAATCCTCCATTTACTGGGTCAACCGTACACTCTTTTACTCTTGTTAAAGCTCACCACTAGTGCTTATTCACTATTCTATCTGTGATTTGAACTCCGGGCCCACAAGATTACTCACAAGTGACTGAATGAGGTGTCAGTAACAAGTCGAACCAAATACGTATCGGGGACCTAATTTGGTCGGAGGTTTCCGAATGAGATTATTTGTCTTCGCGGCTGTCGGGCCGAGAAGAGACGAAATTTGGACAAACTTCAATTTGGGATTCCGGTGCGTCTATGCTTAAGCCATTTGGCGCAACGGTAACACAAGCATTCCATGCGTGGAGTCCGCAATTCAAATCCCAGACGGAAGGTAGATTGTTTTACTGATGATTTCTAACGGGATCGAAATTCAATCCCAGTACTTCGCGAGTATGTAGTTTACTATGTCTTTTCTAATCGAGCCCTAGCCAAAACCTGCGATTTTTCATCCTCGACCCACAAACTTTAACCATGTTGCTTTTAGCCAGTCAACGGATGTTGAAACATCTTATTTTTTCACAATTATAGTGTTCACAGTTTGGTTAAAAAATGAGGTGTGGTTATTATATGTTGCACAGTTTGTCATCGTTAGCGTCATGTATTCTAGTGTGAATAAACTGATGACAGTAATGAAAATCTGTTTCGGCGATCTGTGTCCATCATCTTCGGACTGTTAATGTATCTACTTCTCCAAAACGGTGTTCTCTTAAAATGGAGCTATAGAGTGGTAAGCATTCACTTTTTATTGCTAGATGGACATCACTACTCGGTCAAGAAATTCACCATTCAGCCTGCGAAATGGAACTAGGAAACTCTCACTTTGAAAGGAATGGAAGAATCCCATTGGTTACAACGATCCAGCAACTGTTTAGAACGTTACCTTTGTAAATAAATGTTTTTTACAATTCGCGAACTCGTTAAAGGCGAACAATTTTTTTCATTGATTTATCTTCTTCCATCTAAAAATGTTTCACACTGCTTCACCTCGGAAAGGGATCTAACTCACTTGCAGTGGCATAGCTAAAGTTTGTGGTGTCGAGGCTAAAGCATTGTAGATTAAAAACGATATGATTATCCACCCGATGACCGAATCCGTAGCATCCATGCGTTATGCCTATGAAACCCCGGTTTCGATCCTCATTTTGGGTGATGGATTTGCACTGATGGTGAGACCCAGCACCTCGAAACACCTAAACAATGCCTTTCACTTCACGCTTCATTTCTTCTATAAACGACAAAATTTGACATATGATTGTAGGTGAATCGCGGTTTTTGTGTGAAGGTGGAATCTAAGGGATTTTCAGTCCGATTCAACAGTAGTATTCCAACGAAGTTTATTTTCGTTGCATCACAGGGTCATGTATAGTTCGGCTATTCAATCAATAGTTTGGGGATATGCAATTCATGTGGTCATGATAACATCAGTTAATTCCTCACAATCATTAACCATGCACTTTTGTGCACCCGTTTTTGTTGCACTCTCATAACTACCCGTTTGAAGAGAGGAGTATATATACTTCGCGCACGTCTGACACCAGACTATGTGGCAAACAAATTATGGTACAAAAATCCTTATAACAAAAAACGTTCCATGATTTGCATGTGATCTGAATACCGTCAATTTGCCCAGACCAAGGCAGGTAACTTTTCTTGAGGAATCCACAACCGGAGCCTTCGGCCAACCAGAGGCTAACCCACAAGGCAGCGGGGCGGTGTGCGAAAACTGAAATCCATTGGGGGCCGGTGTCTAGTTCATCGGATCATACGTACTTTGGACGGGGTCAAACGTCCAAGGTGCCAATACATCTTGATGCCCAATCGAGCCAGTGACCACTGCCACAACCAGGAGGTTGTGTGTGTGATTCGTACGCCTCCTCCTGGTTGGTTTGGAATCAAAGTTTTTGGCCAACTCCCCTAGGTGAACTACCAGTGGTCCACCAACCCGGATGTTGGTTTTTCGTCCTCTCACTTTGGTGGGAAAATACCACTGCCACGAGAAGGCAGTGAGTAGGGCTTCTACAGCAGAGGCTATTTGAGACGATTGGTCGTACGGGAGCATTTCGCGAGGTGCAAGGGAAGGGTGACCAGATGCAACCCTAGATACCCACCCCCGACCATACTGAGGCTTGCAGAGGCGAAGGAAGGAGTAAAGAGAAGATTGGAATATACGAACCGAGTAAAAGTAAAGACTTCATGAAGACAAAGGTTGCAAAGACCTTGATAAAATGCACGAGTGCCACTGTTTACGAAACTCGGCCTTATCACTCATTGTCTCTAGACATTGATTACAGTCATCCCGAGGTCCCCATCCAGAGAGCCTGGTGCAGCCTACATATCCCAATCTCATGCCAGGTCTTAACTTGATCACTCTTTACTTCTTTTCACCCACTACCTGCCATCGCAAACATCGCGTGTCGCGATAACCTATTTAGTGACGTTCGTAATACATGCCCCACCCATGGTCATCTATGGAGGTCTACCTTTTTCTTCAATGGGCGACTAGGGTTACCAAAACGTCTGTGCCTAACCTCAGCTCCTCCCGTCATCGATACCCTCGAACCACTAGACTCGAGTTTCGCTCGTATAGTATATATAGTAGTCTATATCTACCGTTCCGTTCGGATTTTGAACTCCAAATCCATCGCAGGGATGGTGTGTATTTCCACTGTGCCAACCATCTCATGCCAGGTCCGAACCGAAATGCTAATTGATGTTTGTTCACGTGTCGTCGTCAGAGATAGTCAGTCAGTTCAATTTTTTCCCCGATAGCAACGAAGGGAGACAGTTGACTGTCTGGTAACTCCAATCGATAGCCTCGCACCAAGTCAGGTTGTCCATGCAGGTTAAGAGCTAACTAGTCAAAAACCTACCAGGCTAGGTTAATCAAGCCCATTTAATTCACGGTCACTTGTGAGTAAAGTTGTGACTGGCTGGCTATCTCTGAAAATGCCCCCTGAACACGCATGAATTGACAATTCGGTTCAGCCGTCGCACGAGCTGGTTGGCACCGTGGTAACACGCTCGCCTTCCAAGCAGTGAATCCGGAGTTCAAATCTTGGACGGAACGGTAGATATGCACTGCTAATGAGCTGCAATAAGAGCGAAACTAGAGTCTATTGCTTGTGAGTGTATGGTTGACAAAAAGGGCTATTTGAGTTGTCTATTCCCTCCATCGGATCTCTCGTAATCTCCATGTCGGAAGGATCCATACTGTCCGCAACCCCATAAATGCAAGACGGTTCTCACATAGTGCACTTCTTCTGGTGCTACCAATAAGTACTCGCACTTTTTCAATTCTTTTGTATTCGGAATTGTTGGACAAACATCTTACGGGTCACGATTTGGAAATAGTTTGGCACTGACAATGATCCCTGTCTATTCATGTTAACTATTGAAAAAGGCAGAATTGAATTGCTCTCTGCCAGTCGTAATTGATGGCAATATGAGTGTCAGATCGATGCCACGGTCACTGCTAGGTCATAAGTGTAGATGGTGAATGAGTGTTTGCTTCTGACAAGGCAATGTATCGCCAAGCAATTGAATTGTAAGTGATTGGCTCTTTGGTGCTACTTTCAAACGGACTGCTGAAAAGTACTTTCTAGTGGATGTTGAGGAACTTTGTTCTCAGATGAACAATGACTGATCCTCCCTAAACGGGTTCTAGTTAACTTTTCCCCCGGTTCTCTGTGTTCAGCGAACGGTTATTGGTATGAGTCGATAAAATCATCCTGTTCACCGTCTCTGTATTTTAAATCTTGACTCCGAACGCTATACGTGGTTTGGTAAACTTCATATTTACGAGTGAAACGAAACTCATGTATATTATATATTCTGTTACTCTGACTGATTACTTTCTATGTGGCCAGCGGTTTATGAACTATGTCAGAACTATCCACGGTCTTGTTCTCTTTGTTGAGTCCTTAATGGAGATTCGGAAGTTGCCTTAAATTTCTGAATCCCAATATTATATCCACTAGTCAACTTTGTTGTTTTTTACCTGAGCACTTCGAGTGTGGCGGACTCCGACTACACAGTCTTATTATAAGAAAATCACACCCATTTATTTATGTGGTTGACTCGCGTTTGTATGTGATTGTAAACTCAGAAACGGCGGACACCAAATCATCTTGTCGCTTCCGCCACCACGGTATCTCACTTGCTTTGCCATTGTTCACTTTATTCACTTAGGTGTCCAACTTCCTGAGGGAGTGTAACTATGCTTTGCTTTTATGCTCTTAGGTATGCTCTGCATCGTTTCAATACAGTCAATGGATGAGATTATAAGATTCAGGCAGGTTGATTTTCTTATTACACACTTTAGTGTGATAAACAGTAGACGGGGCATACCCCATAGTCACGAGGATCTGCCTTAAATTGATTGAAATCGATAAACGAAACCTCGGGACTTGGGGTGGAAAACCACATAAGGCCCCGATAGGTTATGCGTGGTATTGAACCGGACGACGGAAAAGGTTGGTGGCGGTGGCGGGGCTCGGACCACAGATCTAAAGCACGCCGGTGACAATGACTAAGCTACTGCACCACCACCACCCTATAAACTTGTGAAGCGGAAGAAACCTTGATAAAGTGTGTAAGTTTATGCTTGCTCAACTGATCAACCATTTTTTCTTCGCTTACAGTCATCCCTACTTTGCATTGATCAACAACACATTGGTGAACAATTAAGTGATTCATATCTGGAGTCAATTGTCTGTGTTAAGGTGTTCTGACGAACTTTTCTTTTTCGATCAAACACTGCTATTCGCTTGCATTTTAGCTTTCAATCTGTTTACCTCGAATTTGTTTTCAGTCCGATGGAAACTGGTCCCGATTTGCAAAATACTATTTCAGTCCCTCATCCTATGAACAATCGTGCTCGACGCGCGCAACAAATGCGATTGGATGCCTGCCTCTCACCATCAAAATCTACTTCTGTGGCACCTAGTGCAAACGCTGAACCGAACCAAATGATTGTAGTATCTAAGTCTACCGGATCGCTTTCATTGAAACAGCTACTCCGAACCGGTCCCCAACCTGAGATATGCTTAACCTCCAAACCTCCTTCAACCTTGATGTCACCTGCGAAGGTAGTTACGAGTATGGGTTATCTTATTTTGACGGTTGACAGTTTAAATAAACTGCGATCTGCAGTGAATCTTGAATTATCAGCTGTAACCTTTTCCCGTACTTCTTGCTATTTCCACTTTGCTGGCTTTTCTACGTTTTATTTGCATGGCTTGGTCTACTTCGCGTCTCCCTCATGTAAGGGGCCTGTTAACAGGTTTTTTTGTGTTCATTTAGGTAACTGAATATATCTAAGAGGGAACGAAAAAGTTTTAAAAAAAATACACCAATCGTTCTCGTGCCCGTTCACTCCAGCGAGTGTTGTGCTCTACGATTGTGAACTCAGTGGCACCGAGTCGCCTCATGAGATTAATGACATTGTCCGAATATATGAGGTGTGAATCAGAATGTATCAAAATTTTAAAATTGATGTCTCATCGGTAAGCACATAAAGAAGTCGAGGTTGTTCAGGGAATACGGCNTTGTGAGTAAGTCAATCTGTTTGAAATGTGCCGAATATGATGCGATAACCGACAGAAAAGACACTGGTGAGTGACAAATTATTGATTTTGTATCTAGATCCAAAGTTTCAAAAAGCGTAGGTAGCATCCAATCGTGTGTACGAACCCTACCGAGGCTAGCAAAATTTTCACAGTTTAAGTCAGATTTCAGTCTGCCAAACGTCATTATTTGAACACCTCTCTGGATTTAGATCTGCCACGACCGTCACACGAACCCGAAAATGGCCTTCCGGTAAACACATTTTGCGAACATGCGCTTCGTTTCTTCAGTATCTCGTTACGAACCTTTCACAATTTCTTCCACGACACCCTTCTTCCATACCTCAATCGGTGCCGTCTTGTCGACTGTCAATAAAGAGTCACTATGTCGATTGATGTGTGTTCACAGCGCTGAGCATACCACGTAAATTACTCCTTTCAGAGAAATCGCCTATGCATATCTTCCTTGAAACAATATTTTGGTACTTTCAAATGCGCATCACGAAAGACACAGTAGGTAACTCAATGTTCTGCGCCGTTCCCTTTCGCTAAGGCTACACCTTTATCCATGCCAATGTAAGTGAATCGAATCAAATGTATCGGAATATTTTGAGGCCACGAATGTTTGAAAGTGTTTTTTTTTAATGCTAATGTTTCAAAGTTGGATGAACAAGCGAACAAGGCGGTCATATGCTGCGCAGTTGACGGTCGTGATGGTGTCAAATGCTATATCGCAAATTCATTATAGAAGGTTTTGAGTATATTCCCGTGTCGTCCAAACTTTTTGCCCCGTCCCGTATGACTATACTGTTTTCAGCAAGCCAGTTTTTTTAATGTAATAAAGATCGAACCAATCAGAGCATTTGGACTTATTGACCGCCTCCTCCAGTGGGTTTTAAAGCGACTGAATGGTGGGAGAAGGCCATTTTAGTAGTTGCTGTGTAATTGTGTATCCAAAGCCCTTCGATGAATAGGCGCATTTCGCAAGATAAGGAATCCTGCAATACTTCCTTCCTCGGTATCAATGGACGCCTAAAAGGTTGATAAAAAATAAAATATGCCTAATAGTATTTGCATTTGAGTGGCCAGAATTCGCAACCGTAAAATAAAACTGCGAACCACAACGATGTACACCCTTTCCTCATGGGACAGTAGGATGTCATGGCGGTGCCATAAGTGTAGCAGATTGGCAAAAAGTGCTCTAGCTTTCCTGATTCGTGTTGTGATCTCTTTCCCAACACCATCTCCGGCTCTGATCAAGCTCCCGCTCTCCCTAAAGCTCTCGACTGCTTCTATCTGATCACCAGAAAGGGTGAGTGCAAGTACCTGCTCCTGCCAATCTGGAACAAGCATGTTGAACTTAGATGATGCAAAGTACATACCATATTTAGGTACCTCTATTACTATTAGTTTGAAGTATGTTGGTCTACCTATACATTGCCCCCAACAAGGTGTTTTGATCAGCATATTCTTAGTCACGGGATTCATTCCGTTAGGGCTTCAAATCCACCGTTTGCTAAACGGGACAAAGCGTCCTGCAGAACATTCCCTAACGAAAAGTTCGACAGGACTGGGATATGGGACAGTCTTGCTTTACTCCACTAGTGATAGCAAATTGTGGTAAAATACTGGCCATAGACCCTAACCAGACGTGAAGTATGAAGATGAAACTTTTTTAAGATCAGCACTTCTCTGGAACTCTTAAGGTACCAACTAAGCAAGTCTTTTATTCTATATACACTAGCAATAGGAACTTTTGTGAAGAGCAAAATGACGTCCATATGTTCTTGTTGTAGAATATGACCGATTTGACATTATCTAGGCATGGATGTTATCACGCTCACCCGGAAGTGTGGATTAAATAGCATATCTGTTAAGTTTCTGGTGCTATTGTTTCTACGCTCAGCTCAGTAGAAAGCGTGAGTCCTATATTCGAGAAACCTTTTGCTCGGGGTTAATTCTTGTTGTTGCTACTGTTTTGATGTTAACTGACTACCTCAACCCCAGGACTCGAACTGGGTAGCTACTCAACACCTCAACAGAAAGGCAATAGTCCCTATCTCAGATACAGATAAGCGTGAGTAACGTTTTGCGATAGGTACCATTACCTTTGTAGAATGACTATCCTTCAGATTCCATCTTCATATACAGACCGCAGTGTATCCAGTTGTCGATATACCCTGACAGCACAAATATCGTGTTTTGCTCTACCTCCCGTAAAAAGATGTGTAAGTAATTACCTCCAAAGCAGTAGGTGAGAATTTGTTAGAGGAATGTGCATCACAAGCACGTATATGAATAGCTTGACAAGTGATTGACGTATACGCTCACCTGATGAGGAATAACAGCCACCAAAACGGCTGTGTTTGCACGGAGAATTTTTGTAGTCTATCAGCTATTAAATTGATTAGTTTATATTTATTAACATTTGGCTGAGGGCATACACACCACTTGACTCTTCTCGTAATCGAGCATTTAATCAATTTTAGAGCATTTGGTTTCATGTGATGACATGAGCCGGTAACTTACTTTATTCATCTTCCACCGTATTTGCATATTTTGCTTGAAAGTGAGTGAAACCATAGTAATCGGAAAGGATTCGAAAATTAATATCTGTAAGGATGGCTGCAATCTGTTTTACTGCTCGTGATTCCCGTCTTGATCCAAACTCTGCACCATTCACCTCCTTGTGTAATTCCAGTGCCAGAATCAGACTACGGCTTCGCCACCAAGTTCTCTTGGGTTGAGCTCCGATCATGCTCCTGTCTCACGATTGGGATCTTCTCGCACGGATCAACAGTTGGCCACATTCTATGCACGATCTCGACTGCATCACTTGTCCTCCTGGGCGAACGAGTTACATCAACTGGTAACTCGAATACGTGATAATCCGGATCATCAGTGTGATTTGGGAGAGGCTTGGAAGCAAAAAGTTCTCTGCCAGTCTGGGACTGATTCGATTGTGACGCGACTTGTCGCTCGTCAGTCAGCCGGGGCTTCTTCTTCTCGCCCCCCGTCCCCACCATCCCTACCGCGAATCGTCTTTCATATTGACATGGATTGCTTTTTTGTTTCAGTTAGTCTACGAAACCGACTGGATTTGAAAGGTGGGTCGCATTGCTGCACTGTCGTTTGCCTTCAATGTCAGTACACAAGCTTTTTTTTACGGTCCATCTACACACATTGTCTCTTTGAGTGTGAGGCCACGGTTACAAGTCTGACACATCATGTGAGACTAATTGACAAAATACATCCCCTAGTTTTTGCCTTCTGAAGAAAACTTGAGAATATTTTCCAATGCAATATCTAATAGCAATAGATTGTCCAATGCGCTTTAAAATGTGGTTATATTTATTTTCCCTTAATGTGCGCTGGCGCCTCATCGTGTGTCTCATTATTTCTTTTTATTCTAGACAAACCGGTTGCCGTTACTCATGCGAAATATCCCGAATCGGAACATCAGAGCAATCCATCATTTGGGTATGTCGGAATTGGGTACCTTTGGTATTTTTCCTATATCTTGGTGGATCACTTGCAAATGAAGCAATTTAGAACAATGTGCTTTTAATCTCTTTATCAAGGTGTGCCAATTTCTGCAAGGAACCCAATCAGGGGATCTTTTAAATTGTGTGCTGGTGTAGTCCTACTCACCGCTTTGTTGTAAAGAAAGTGCTGTTCCTAAAATGGTAAGGCTAACATCCGGTGCTAGAGCTAGGTTAATAAGCTACGAGAAGTTAGTTCCTGTAAGAGGGTTTGCAAATCTGACCGCCGAGAACTGAAGTGTGCACTGACCGCATGCCACTCTATAGTTATCGGTTCAAATAAACCATATAGTGTATTGGGCACCCTGAACTCTTAAATCCGCTTCTCCAAAAAGTGAGGCTCGAATAGTTTCCAATAAACGATGCTTTTCACATGCCACCCCACTGTTTTTCAGCTCGGGCCTTGACTAGTATGAGGACGAGAACCTCACCCACTCCATTTTCACTAACGTGACAGTATCACGGATTTGCACAAATCATCTGTTGAATATTTTGCCAATAAAGTCGTAATAAGTTAGATTCTCTCGCAATCTTTAGAATTTCTGCCAGCCAAGATAGGTTGGTTCGAGTGTACCGAAACTTCACTGTTAGATCCGCCAAGTCACCCAGTTTAATTTGATCTCCGTCCGTCTTCCATCATAGATCTGGAAGGCGCGTCCCTGTCAACTCCATGTCTGAAATCGCTTCTTGTTCGTATGCTGCTAGAAGAGTGAGTTCAAACATGGTTTGTTTTATTTAGAATAAATTAGACTTGTCTCAAACGTTTCCCGCGCTTTGTTACCCTTCCTCTGGTATGTGTACTTCATCCTATATACTGAATATTCTGATGATGTAAATCGGATACTGGACTCATTAGAATCAGGTTTCTTTCAAACCGTATAGTAGAACGCAAATAATTGACTTGATGTAAATTAAATGAAAACTAACGTTTGACTCAGACAGTCGTGGCCTCCTAGGGAAAAAAATCAGGGGACTAGGTGATGTGAAAATATATAAAGAAAGTGGCGGAATCAGATAACTCATGATGAATAAATACGAAACAAATTCTTTCTTTTCATTTTCACTTCCTTTTATTGGATATACAAAGATACAATTTTCGGGAAGGGGGAAACGGCTAATCAAAGGGTTGTCATTCAACACACAATGGGGAAAATCAGACAATGGTGGTGGGATTCGAACTCACATCCACGGAGTGATAATTTGGTGACGTTACCACCGGACCACCACCGCGAAGATTCGGTGAATGGGATCTGCGTGACGCATTATTTGAGGTGCTGGTGTCGTATCAATGGAGCCAAGAGCCACCGGAACTATCTTCGGGCCACATTGAAAACGGTTGATAATTTGACCGATCCGCGAACACCTCACTCTGATCCGTGATGGGTGTTTTAACTAAAACATATCGTACGTCTTCTTTCAAACTCCAGCCTAATAATCCGCTTTGCATCTAAGGAGAAGGTTTCACTCATTGCCTTTTTGCCGTTGTTGTTTTCACTAAATTGTGATATAGAAAAGCCAATCTCTCAAGTTATAACGGGCTGGTGAGCCACCTACAACTAGCCTAATCAGCTGAAATAACGAACTCTTATTCCAAACCATGTATTTTGAGACTTATATACCGCTCTTAGAAGACATCGTCTCGAATGAGCATTTCCCACGTGGGAGCCCCGTCCGAAGGGCGTATGTTCCGACCAATTGGATACTAGCCACCAGTGTATCGCAAACTTGAATCCTCCAGCGCTAGACTATCCTTTCGAAGGTTCAAGCCAAGTCAAGTCAGTGGTAGATTCATGCACTCAGATGGGTGAATTTTCAGCATTTTACATCATATTTCTGAATGCAAATATACAAAATCCTACAAAATGAAACTGAAAGCAGTAAATATCGTTTGTCAATAAAACAAGTTGTTTCATAACTCAGTGAAATTTTTTTGGTCAACAAGTAGACGTACGGTTTATGGCAAAACAGAATCACCATATGATGAGGTACGTGCAGATGACGGTTTGAACCTTGAACGTATGGATGATGTAGATACAGCTTTTGAAAATTCGTTTTAACTGAGAGTATTTTGTAGATAAAATTTTCACATTCTTCTAAATGTCTCTCTATGATAGATTTCGCAAGTTTATCTCTCACGGTGCCACCACACTTAGAGATTGATTTAGGAGATCTCGCCCGTAAATAAATCTTTTTTTTCAACAAACCGGGGCAAATCAGTAAGAAGCAGCACAACCGGTGGAGGAGTGCGCATGCATTCACAAACCTCACAGTCAACTTTTGGTTTAGCAGAACACATTTTTAATTGGAGTGAAAATGCGTTTTGAACGTGCGGTGACCATGATAAATTGTGTGAAGACAAGGTATTTATTTTCATTGTTGAGGTCGATATAGGTTCATTGTTGGTAGAAAGGGTGAGAACACTTTTTGTGAGGGCTGAAAAGGTTCCTCGAACAACGGGGAATATACATCATCCTCAAAGTGTGATGCATCCAATGAAAGGGAACGGGACAAGGACCAGCTAACAACGTAGGTCAGCGTGCTTTCATTTCCAAAGCATCTTCAAGGTAGGTGCTTTGCATCCTAAGACAATGAAGTCTACGTATTTGAAGCCAATAAATGCAGAAAAAATGGGAAACTGCATGAGGTACACTTAAAACTAAAAGGCAGAAAAATTACACGTAGCGGAGCACCAGAAGCAACAAGGCGAGTAGAAGCAGTTTTGCCGTTCAGGCACGTGTACTGCTTTTTATTTTTAATCGTGGATCGATCTGCTAGCGTTTGGAATAACACCACTTTCACTCTTGCACAGTTCACT